CCAGGTTAGGTGGTTCAGGTGAAAACGTCAGCAGATACTGTGTCCAAAGCTCAGGCCTAGCAGGAAAGATAACCACACAGCAGCCACAATTATTGTTTTTAATAATAACAATAGCATTACTCTTTTAAATATGTATATATACATTGTGCAGGATTCTCAACATAGTATATTGCATAGTCCCTGTCAAGGAACTTAGCCCTAAGTTCCTATTGTAATGAAGACTTAAGCGATTCAACCGATAAACACTATGTATTTCCTTCAACTTTAAATCCAAAACACCAATATTCCTCGAACGAAATTATATTGTTTGGCAATTAAATTGAAGAAAACTACAAAGTCTGCAAACAAATGTTAAGTACAAATGAAGTTATAAAGTACTTTTATTCGTATTTAAATCCAGTCTTCCTTCAACTTGCAAGCGATCGTTCCATTCGCGCCTTCAATTGCCCGCCAATGGTTGCCAGTTCCAATAAAACAAACGTTCACTGTTCACTTCCATTGACAGTCCCTCTCAAACTAGCATCATCAAGTTAAATAGGGATCTGTAGAATAATAAGTAGTGAAACCCTGTTCGACGCGAAGCACAGAATAATCCTTCGAGATATTTTCCCTCGGTCTTCACAAAATGCGCAAGGGTAGGTGTAAAGCCATTTAAAAATACGCGTGGGTGCATTTTGCTACAAAATCTAGTGGTTGAAACAATAGGCAACAGGGAAAGTATGATGCTATCTACTGGATACAAATTTAGACACTCGTGATGATTAAAGCAAACGGGAAACCGTGAGGCAGATGCGAAGGCGCTTAGGCAGCATGACTTACTGGACTCCTAAAATTGGTAAGCCCGACGTGGCTTGTACTGACTCAGCCCCCTCTTGCTCCAAATCACCATCCAGTTCTTTTCATACTGCAGCAGAATGTTTCGTACTACCAACTTAACAACAGAAATAACCCTGATCAATCAATAACGGTTGGTGCCTTTTCTGTCATTCATCGTTCATAGGTTAAACCTGCTAGATTGTATCGCAAATTAATTGGATGGAAGCCTGCTGACTTGCAATATCGAAATGCAGCTGGATAAGAGATACACTGACAGGACATGAGTAACCCGAGCGAGTTTCGATTTATTTTGGTTACTTTGTCAGTATTTACTATGCGACTATCGTAAACTTTTTCTAGCATCCATTTTCTACTGGCATTTCATATTTTTATATCGCTGTTGTAATCTGGTGTTACACTAGATAATTTTAGTTGAATCTTGTCATGTTATTTCAAGTAGAATAGCTGACTGACCTCATAAATTTCTGATTTCGTTACCCAACGTTTTTGGACTCCCTTACCCGATAGCTTCCAACGAAATAACTTTAACAGCACAGCCATTTACATCATTTAACCAGTATTCTGATCAGAGGATTCACCAATCCTTCAGTCTGGCTTATAATAGCGTTGCGATTGGGCTGCTGCTGATTGCAGCCGACAAAGAATGTTACTTTTAAGCCTGTTGTCAGGTTTACCTTAGCACAGATGCTTGGAAGAAACAATGAGAATGCACAATATACGCTTGGTGCGGCAACCAATATCATTTTCTTTCGAATGCCAAATGACCGTAACTTCCTTTGTCCTTTTCGAGCAGCAGAGATCATCCATGCTACCGTTGGGGGTAAATGACTGGGAACGGCTTTGTTTGATCCCTTACAGCATAACCTCTCAGGAAAGGTGACGTTCTCCATGAGACTTTTCTTCTAAGAGAATCGTATTCCTACAGCTTTGTCCAATGATGCAAAGCTACTCTGCTGGAAAAAGTGAATTTTGAAGGATTCGCTAAGATACAAATTGGTTACATCAATTGAAGGATTCCCACCCCGAAAACATGCGGAACTCGCCTAAAAGTAGAGTCCATGATAGTTGTCTGGTCACCTATTCCGATATGCTCTCATCTTGCCTGTTCAGACGTATAAGTCCCCAGCCCTATCTGTTTTGACTTGATGGCAAGGTTGCATCTAACATTAACCTACCAGTGGAAGCAGTATATTAGTCTTGTTTCTTCCCTGGGTGCGTTTAATAAGGAAGTATTGAAAGCTCGTAAGAATACACTGAACCAGCACGATGTCTTCCCCACGCTGTGGACCCTTTAAACGACATCTTCTGGCCCACATCTATTAAGATAAACAAGTTGAGTAGGTGGGCTGAGCCATTCCGAACTTGATCAATTTCATGAATTTTTCCAGCCCCTCACAGCTCCGCTCTTACTGTATCCTAGAGTGTGACCCTATATGACGGTAAGATAATAAACTGTTCTAAGTGTCCGAAGGGTGAGACTGAAGACTATTTCTGATCTGAAAAACCCGCAGATTCATGTAAATTTGCAAAACAGCGCAAGTTAACAATACTGTATCGTGCACTTTCAAAAGGAAGTAGAAAATAATTGGGTGTTTTGGCTGAGAAAGTTTACGATGAGCTTTTACTGCTCAGAAAGAGCATCCACGTAAATGCTCATAAAAATTACAATCATATCAATGATAGACTTTTAACGTTAGAGTAAAAACAGCCCTAATTAAATCACTTTTTAGATTAAAAGCTTCTTCCCTGACGATTCACTATGTCAGTTGAAGCTGTTACTTGGCAAAAAGCTGTAGACCTTCGTTTAATTTTCTAAACCCAATAGTCAACATCCACATAGGCAATGTCGACCAGACCAAATAACTGAATCTAAATCGCAAGGTTTTGCCTAAAATTCCTTATTAGTGATGGTTTAGGAATAGACATTTCCGCCGAAAGAGTTACTAATATTACCGACCGGCAGCGTGTGTTGTTCATGAAGACTATTATAAATTTTGAGCATCTATTTCCGAAAGCGCGGCAATGGGAAATCGAGGTGGGAAAATTAATCAAACACACGAGGAGGCATTCGTCATTCAACAGATGAAGAGGGCCTTACAAAAATACAAAAGAGATAGTCTCTTCACAGTCACTTGTCTCATCCTTCTACAGTCCTGTGTTGTAGAGACACTACAATATTTTCCACTTTCAATTGTTCAATTTAATAGGGTGTGAAAGATGAATAGCAAAAATACAGTCAAGAATAACTGGACAATAAATAGAAAGTGCTGCAGGCACTGTTCGAATAACTTTTGAGAAGAAGGCCTGCGGTCTTTGGACATAACTAAAACAGAATCTTGATGACATGCAAAAACATTTATCATTTAAATGAGATATATCAGATAAACATGGTACAAACCTTCAAAAATGAGGTTATCTGGTGCCCAAATACCAAGAAAACAATAGTTGAACCCAAAAATAGCTTGAAATTAACAAAAAAGTGAATTCGAACAAGAAATGCACAACAGTCCAGTGAAGGAAAAACGTATCAATAAGACAAATGCAAAATGGTACATGAATTACAAATTTAATGTTTAAAGGCACAAAATTAGACTTAACACTCCCCTGGAAGAACGTTGGTTTCTTTTCCAAACAATTAATGACATAATGTTTGCAACAATATTTAGTCATCCAGGTGAATTGTTACACAACGCAGCCACACTCTAAAATCAAAACAGAAAGAAGCAATTCATTAACAATCGGTATAAACTCCTCATACCTAAACACGGTACAGTCCTTCAAAAATAAAGTTATCCGTCGTACAGACACCAATAATAGAATAGTCAAACACAGACATTTATTTGTGTGTAAGAAGTAGTATGGTTTTTCCCCAATTAATCTAGTTTGGTGCATATCTATCTGTGGAATGTATTTGAATAACGCAGTCTCAAAGTGGTGGTTTAGTTGCTTGGCAGAAATCTTTCAGCCAGGTATGCCTATGAAAACCACGAAAATCACCACTCAGTTTTAACTACTGTGGAACAATCAGTTGTCTTTATTATAGTTTATTCACCTTTAATTTGGGTTTACTTTTTTAAGAGAATATTTGAAAAGTACATCCACAGCTGTCTTACCAAGCTTGAGATTCGGGGGATTTATCAGAGCGAGTTTAATTAGGCGTAAAACGGTTAATGGCCAGCCCACACCATATTCTGTTTTACGAATTATGTGTAGACAGTTGGGCGCATTTATATCTAATCTCTGCGAAACCTCGATTCCACTCTACATTACAGTGCACGAAATTGCCCATTGGACGAGGTGCAACTTGTTGAAGACGGGCAGGTAAAGGGCATAATTGGTTATTCTGAGAGGCTGGAACAAGCTACATAAATAAAAGTTGCGGAACCAGGGTATCCTGCAATCAGGACACTACAGGTTCCCCACTGGCGTTTCACGAGTGGGCGTTCCTCAGATTTCAGAAGATAGAATGCTGTCACACCTCGTCTTCTTTCGAGGTTACCGTGTCGGGAACACTGCCGCGACTGTTGTCTAATAGGTGTATAGGTATGGATGGTGACTAGATATTTATACTGCAATACACATCAACCGAACATTGTCCCAACCACATCGGGATGAAATCCGCGCACACCCCATGTTAACGACGTGCTTTTGAATAAAATCAACTTTCCATTTCGTCTCTGGTACGTCAAATTTTTTCTGTCCTACTGTTTCATTTACTCAATGCATTTACCCACTGAGTTATTTTAAAGCAACTGTTCGGTTTTCACCTCCGAAATCGTCTTTTTTACTGTCACTTTTACCTCATTCTCTTTGACTTCATTGGGTGGACGACGGTGGAAAGGACCAGATCAATCTACGACAAGACCACGGTCTACATTTAGATTAAAATTTTCCCTTTGCATCTAAATAACCTCCCATATCCCTCGAACCCCACTACAACCCTGAGAAATCAGTGATTAAACTTTATACATGAAGAAATGTTGAAGATTAAAAGCCATAACCTTACCACAAAGAAATTCGTTTCGGTTAATACTGGCTTGTAAATACGCAGTTGAAGTTTTACTAATAAGCAGTAGTCTTCCCATCCACTAGATTTTTCAAGCTGTCGTAACTTCTTAAAATTTAATGGTTTATTCTTTTTTAGATGGATTACTTCTTTATAGGACTGTTTGAATTCATACCATAAGGTCAGTTATTTATTTTGCAGTCAAAGGTTGCCGCAAATTCAAACGTAGCGCGGAACTGAATTAGGGCTTACTACATTCTCGGCTCCCTTAGTGTTTTAAGGTTCCTATCCTTTTAAAAAGTATGTGTTTAACTTCATTTCAGTTAAATGTGAATTTTCTTACATTAGATTGTGTCGACTAGATCATCTTCCTCAAGATGTCTTCTGTGCTTGAACAGCTGATCGAAATGGGTTTCACACAGGCCAAAGCGTATGTTTAACGTGATTATATGTCTGTCCTATTATAGGGAAAAGGCTATTAAGTCATCAGGGAATAAGGGATTGGAGGAAGCGATGGAGTGGTGCGTTCACTTTGTCAAAACCTGCTAATTATCACAATTTTTAGGATTGTGGAAAACGACAGTGGTGATGAAAACGATGGTAATGTTTATCGACTTGTTTTATGTTGATTTGCATAAGGACCTAATGGAAATGGTGAAGCTGAGAAAAAGTCTCTGACGCCACGTTCTTACATATGTGAAGAGTAAGTTGCCTTTGTTTTACATTAGTGTAGCTGCCAGAAGTCTCTCAAAAGCGATGAGGAAGTTCAGTTGCACAGTGCTCGCACAGGACATATCAATTATGCGGAATCTTCAGACCCAGTTAAACCTTTAACAGAGGAAGAGCGTAAACAACAGATGGAAAAGTTACAGGTGTGCTGTTGCTCCTAACTTTTCATTTTCTGTATCAGTTTGGAACGTACTCTCAAGTGTTCTGTAAAAATTAAGTTTGATATAATCTTTTTGTGGAGGGCTGATGCATCTGTTGGCTGGAAATCAGTATTCCAGCTTGGGATTTTGCAAACTAGGGATTAAATTACCTTTTGCATCCCAGTCGTTAAGCTTGTTTTTGACTTAAAACACTGATATCTGTTTGCGAGGTTTTCATATGTGCACAGCTTAATTTATTTCTGAGTATTTGAAGGATTCTTCTCGAACCATTTTTGTATTGGTTGTTTATTTAAGTGGCATTGTATCCGACATCTGTGTCACTAATCTTAGTTTTCTCTTTAAAGTCATCACTTGTACCTAAGTTAACCACCTTTTAAAATGGTCTTTTGTAATGCAAGGTAAATATTGGTGGGTTTTATCTAAGTCGGTAAATTAAAAAGATGGTAACTAGTTTTTTGGGACAAGTGCAAGTATTTTCACTATTCTCAAAGAAAGGAATAAGATAAAAGAATAAATGTCACTGTTAACGCTAACCTTATTGTCTAACTTGCTCTCAGAGTCTAGCAATACTTATTTTCATCTATGCAATTCCAAAATTCACCAAATTGGCTGTTATCAAGATAGTTTCTGATGTATTATGATAATTCCAGATCTACCCTACTATCATTTTCAAGTTCCAGAGTAGTCACATTTGTCATTAAATTATGAAGGAAAGTCTCCCATCTGACACTTGTTATCAGCATCAATTTGTGGAATGTACAAGTGAAACATAAATGTGATGTCCAGCTTCTCTAAACATCTCTTTAACAATGTTTTGCATCATACGTAGTTAGTATATTTACTTAATCAGTGATCACAGTTTTGGTAACGTTTGGTGAGTCCTGGTTGTTTTATTTTATTGGTAAATATGTGTAGAAATTTGCAAGATGTCAGGTAATGCATAAATGAGTTCTACCAAAGATTGTCGGACCTTTTAATAGATGTAAACATTCAGATTTCGACAATATAGCGAATGCCTTAAGCGCTACAGTAGAGAAATCACTTTATGAAGAAATCAATTTAAGCTGTGTATCTTAACCCTGCGCACGGTTAATGATAGTTATTTCCAAGTGGTTATCTTAACCTAAGCAGCACGTATTTCAGAAAAATAATCTTGATTAGATTTATTTAAATCTTAAGTATCAACAATTAGAGTTTTTGTAGCCGTATAGGTGTTTTCCCCTTTTAAACTCCTGCCTGCTTGTTCCAATACTGTATTACTTTGCAGTTAATGCTTTTCTGTTTTAAAGTATAACTGCTTAGTGTAATGCACTTCTATATAGATTCGTATGCTGATTTACTAAAGCGAAAAAACCTCGCTGTCTCTTTTTAGTGTTGATAGGTGGATCATATGACTGTCAGTCACTGTTGGGGACGATTATCGAAGAATAGTAGCTACCACTAAAGCACGAGCTTAGTTATTGATCACTATTTGAGGTTATAAAATGTCAGTTCCAAGTAGCGCATCTAAACTTGTGGGCAGAACACCTTACGAGACGTCTTGGTTGACCTCCAGTTACTATCCAGATTCCCACTATCCGATCACAATATGGGAAGTAGACAAGACCTTTTAAGTTGAGATTAATTTGAAAAACAGAAAGATAATTAATTGTCATGTATTAGGAGAACCGATACTCAGGAACAGTACCCTAAGTAAGACTAGTGTCCAAATCGATCAAAGTATTAGCGATAGTATGTGAAGTATAACAGTATTTGGCCCTTCCAAATGATTAACTGTCGCATGTTTTTCTTAAAGAAAGAAGTCTTTTAGCTGTTACCTTAGGGTAGTTTACTTGATTACTATGTCTCGTAGTCATATTTTTCTAAATGTGAATTTGTAAACAGACTTTAAAAACTAATCTAGTTTCAGACTTGAGCATGGGTCTATGGATATTAAGGTCTTGGAAGATAAGAATGCTTACCGACTTCTGAAATTAGTTGTATTTATTAACCTGGAAGCGTCATTTGTTACGTTTAATCAAAGGATTTTACGGGAGTGTCTTAGAAAAGTCCATAAACTGAGTTTGTCTTGGTACCAAAGGTGGCAGTTTGACTAACACCTGTGGTCGCTTTAGAACCTATTGCAAAAATATCCTATGAGATGCTTGGATCACGTACTATCCATCCAGGATGTCCACTTTCTTCATTTTTATTTAACTTCATTGCAAGTGTGCTCATGGTAGTCTTTTTCGGCATTTTCTGACTAACCAAATTGTCTTACTTATAAATCAGGTGGATATTCAATGGTCAACTGCTCAGCAGTGAGTGCTGTCTACTGCTTCGAAATGTTATCCACCTTATCTTTTTGACGGGTGTTTAAACATTCGAACATTTTGTTGCCTCCTCTATAGCGTCGTTCTAATTTGTAGGATTCACAGTTTAAGCATCACATAATCTTTAAAGTTACTAGTATTACAATAATAACAGCTGATTTATCCTTTCTTTCATGGCTATTTTGATCGCTGCAACTTCATTTCACCTCATTTTTAATCTTTTCCTGGTGTTAAAAGATGTAACAGTTTAAACGTGTTTTTATTAATTTGTCTGCCTTTTGTATTTTATTTCTGTTTGAAGTTTGAAATGAGCTTGTGTCACTAAAAATCTACTTTTGTTCCACAGTATTCGAAAGTTCTATTCGTACTAGTTATAGTTATGATATATATATATATATATATATATATATATAAAGTAAAATTTCATTTGTGTAAATTGGATAGGAACTTTTACGGATTAAAAAAGCTCAGAGAGAGGAACAAGAGAAACAGGAAGAACTTGAACGTGAAAGACAAAGGCGTCAACAGGGCAAGACATTAATTTCAGCTAAAGAAAAGTTTGAAGAAGATGAAATGCGTCGTTTAGTTGAACAAAAAAGGCGAGAAAAAGAAGAAGATCGAGCTTACAGGTAATTTTTTAGTGCTTTAAAATTATTTTCAATGAATTGTTCATAATTTGTTATGTTTTGAAATAGTTCAATAGATCAATTAAAAAAAGATTGTTCAGAACAGTTGTTCTGGACTTTTTCATTTTAGCTTAGCTGTTTTACATGTTCGCTGGTTATTTATTTCCAGTTTAATCGTTTCCTAAACCTTTAATTCTTCCCTCCTTTATAGTAAATCCCCTTAAAATTTGAACGGTATTCCGTGATGCTGTATATGTATTAATCTAGAAACAAAATGATATACAATCGCATTATATCATAAAATTTAGTTACTTTTCGACCATATATATATGTACGAAATATAGAGAGCAACGTAACAACGATGTAAGCTAAAGATTCTGTCAGGGATAAAGTCAAAGATATGAACTACTGGAAAAAGTTGCAAATCAAACCTAAACAAATTTCTGGAGATGCTAAGTCTTCACTGGTTTTATACTTGATTTCCCTAGTGTGATTGGTAAACTCTTGTTGTCTTTGTTATGATGAAATGAAGTGACGCTACGGTGTGGGTTAGTTCATTTTCGACTATTGAGTTGTGGGTGTTTATTCTGTCCCACTTATCGATATGTTGACCACCAGAGGTAATATGAACTACCTTCCTCTTTTATTTCGTGGTTTGCTTTTAACTGTTTATGTAAAAATGACAAAACTAATTCTACTCTATCAAGTTGAAAGTTGAAAGTCATTGGTAGAAACAGTGGGTAGTTTAGATCAGGAGTGATACAAAAAGTTGAAGTAAATGAAATTGTTATGAATATTATACAGATTGACTGACTATCTGTGGAGTTGTTAGATAATTATCTTTTTTAAAAGAGGTAAGAAGACGAGTGGCAATAGCAAAGTTTTAATTCATAGTTCGTTAGATAACACAGTTGAGGCGTGTTTTCGTAAAAACAGGGGAGGGATTTGAACGGAACAAAAGATAAGAAGGATAAGATAACGGGATAGAAATTTGTACTCAGTCTACTTTCTGAAGTGTAAACAATTATCAGCTTTGAGCTGCTGTGTGAATTAAATAGATAAGCAAATTGCACACAGCTCAATAAGTTGTTGGTCCACATTTGACCTGACATGGTTGAGGGTGGGTGGACTTCGGTCTTCCTTCTGAAATGCTCTCATGTGACCACGTGTTTATAGCCTGTGTTAGATAAGTACTCTTCATTACTTTCACGCAGTGGGGGTGTTCCCTACAAAAATGAAAGAGCGAATGCAGATGTCTGACGCTTACAACTGGACTGGTGGGCATACAGGTCTACCTAGGGGAGCTTAAGAACCCTAATTCAGAATCTATGACGTACATGGGCTCTAGAATCCAAGAAGATCGAATGGCATCTGAACCTGTTTTGGTCACAGGCAACTATGAGGACGTAGCTCGTAACGCTGCCTTGTGGAGCAGGTATCAAATTAAAGGCTCGGATGATAGCCCCTTAAGCCAACAACTCTCTTCGGTCTAGGCATCTGAACAATATCGCAGCCCCCCAACAAACTATGCGATTTTTTGTGGCGTATCTCTCGGTGCCCATAATGTACCAAGTTTTTATTTTAATAAATAATAAAAATAAAGTTTAAATCACCACAAGCAATTTGAGACAGATATTTATACATATTTACATTTTTTCCTTCTAATTTACTTTATTTTTCTTCCTCAAAATTCAAATACAGAGAGAAATTGAAGGCAGATATCGCTCGAGAAAGGGAAGAAAAGGTGAGTCAGTGTGTTTGGTTTACACTTCTTAGACTTAAAAAAATATAAAGAATTTAGATACTCTTATTATGACTGATGATGACTGATTCCTAAATGAATCTGTTACACCATGGATATTAACAATTTGGTCATTCAGGTGAAACTGTCTACTGATTGACAGAATCTCACCATAGAACTTTGCATAAAAGTGCACCAATTGAAGTTGCCACACTCCATGTAGTACAGAATGGTAGACGAAAAAGGGGAGAAGAGATTCAAAAGAACCATAACAACAAGCAGAAATGTGGTGGGGGAAGAATAGTGGCATGGAAAAACATGAGGGTTTAATGGATATGGGCGGTCATAAAGGGTGAATGCATCTGCACCATTGTGAACGATGTTGAGCGATAACACTAAAATAGTCTGTAGCCATTGGTTCTTAGCATCCCGAAGACCTTAACTAGGCAGTGCCTACACCTCTCTACTTGTCTGGCTCAAAGCAACATTGAAAGACTTCATGGAGTGTTTCAAGGTTTTGATTTGACCACCCTAACTCTTTTCCGATTTTGTCCTAACATTGCTCATCGGGGAACGCGGTGGCTCGGCAGGCACAACATGTGTCCTAGCCGTCTCAATCGATTTAACCTCACAACTTCGTGTATTGACTGACTTACCCTTCTTACCTAGCACTCTGTGCCTAACCTCGATATTACTCACCGTATGATACTACTTAACATGGGATATAGGAAGCAAACATATGTAATCAAAGAAAGTCAACCTCTTTATATCTTCCACTCTCAATGGTCATGTCTCATAGTTATAAAGGAGGACAAAGCGAACTGCTACTGAGTACATACGCCCTTTGATTGATAGTTAGATATCACGTCTGCGTCAGAGATGATGTAAGTTGTCAAGATTTCGTCAGCAATCAGTCCATTAGGACTGAGGCAGATTCCCAACACTGTCTAGCACTATAGTGTATTGGTTTAAATTAGTATGTTTGTCATATTACGAGATAATTATAGAGTTGAGAAGAGAGGAGTTTCGTTATAACAGTGATGAGGGGGACGGGAAACTCTTACTGAGGGCGACGTTCTCTTGTTGTACCCTGCAATGTAGCTCTAAAGAGTGTTACCTGCATCTATTGCTTGACAGCTGCTATTACCACCTGGTTGCTGAAAATCTTAATATACACATAGTAGTGTACAGATTCGCAATACATTAATCCTTAGCATAATGAGCTATGATATTTGATTTTGTTAGAGAATATGTATCAGAATAAGCACAATTATAATTATGATTTCTACGGTACCAATGTAAATGCCTATGAACTCCATTAATCTTACTGCTATTGCGACAAGAAATTCTCAAATCTTGAAATATTTACCTTTTTGAATAATTAATATGCGGCAAATGTTATCCACTTAATGTTTGGCATTATTGTGCAACATTCCAGGCTGTCGCATTTCTCATCTACACATTGACTGAAAGGTGAAGATGAGGCCTGAATAAGGCCAGTCGCTAGTGAAAATCAGATCGATTCTCAAGTATTGGTTTGTGTAGGGATTTTCTTTAATTGGTTGGAGGATTTTTCAGGCAGTGAGCCGGGGTTCTAGTGTGAAGCGGTGACCAGTAGAGTACAGCAGGTTGAAGGTGAGGCAGTAACTCATCGAAGAAGACATTGCGAAGTAGTCGAACTATAGTTTCAAACGCCAAAGCGTTATCCTCTGCAACGAGTCTTATTAATTAATTATTTAATCCAATTTAGATTTTCCCGCCGAATCGCACAGGAGGTGGCTCTCGTGTGGCCCAATTGGTTTAGTGGATAACGCTTTGGCGTTTGAAACTATGGTCACTGGGTTCGAGCCTCGGTGGGAACATCCTCACTCACTGGGGTGGGGAATGCATGTGCATCCAGCTGTGAAGAGTCCCAAATAGGACGAAATGCGCGTTGCCCTGGATTCCACTGCTGGTCACCATCCACCAATTCACTTCAAGTTACATGACCAGACATTGTCGAAGCATCTGCACAAGGAGCCGACATGTCAACCTGAGACCGAGCACTTCGGTCCAATCAATCGACGGGAAAATCTAAAACTGAATTAAACCCTTATCGATGTTTAACACTTTTTCTGTTACCAACTGTATGCGCTAACCTAACACTAATTACCGCCATTGTCGATGAAGTGAGAACTTGTGATTGAAAAAAACACACATACTGGATAGCTAAAATAGCACTCACATCAGTCAGATCTGTGTTAAGTAAACCACTTATATTCAGCAGTTATATGTATTGATTAACTCGACAATGAGTTATCCCTAATTTGTGATGTTGCCTGTTTATCTGAACTTTGGCATACTGTACAGATTGCAAACAGGAAATGTAATACCATTGGTTAAAAGTTGAGTCCATGGATAAGTCAGTTACAGCTTACACTTGATGACTTCTTCATACAGGTGCTTAAATCTCTTTATAAATGGATAACCACTACTCGCTGATCAAAAGGACTAAGAGTAAACTGATGATTGTGTCATCACTAGTTCATCATTGCTCTATAATTACTTTTTCTTATCTTATATGTCTCTCAATGTAATATCGTATATATGTAGATATAGATATGTATATAACAGACAGACATCGTATATATATATATATATATCGTATATCTTCGTATGTTTGGCATGCGATTCGCCCCTGTAAAATGTAAGATGATGTTGCAGGATTGGACTACACCGACCCCTAGATTAGAAATAGGAAGTGAAGTGGTAGAGCACGCTGACCGCTTCACTTATTTGGGAAGTACCATCAGCCCCAACGGGTTGATCTCCGACGAAATCTCAGTACGAATACAGAGGGCTAGTTTCGCATATGCCAGTTTACGCCGTCTCTGGCGTAGACGTGATATCCGACTATCGACCAAAGAGCGTGTGTACTGCTCAGCAGTCCGCTCCGTCCTCCTTTATGGCTGTGAGACCTGGCCATTGAGAGCGGAAGACATGAAAAGATTAGCTGTCTTCGATCATAGGTGTCTGCGTTCTATTTCCCGCGTGAAGTGGTATAATAAGGTGAGCAATATTGAGGTTAGGCGTCAAGTGCTAGGTAAGGCGGGGAAATCAGTCGACGAGACTGTGAAATTACATCGACTGAGATGGTTAGGACATGTGTTACGTATGCCTAGTCATCGCCTTCCTCGACGGGCAATGTTAGGTGACATAGGGTCACGCTGGAAAAGAGCTAGCGGCGGTCAAACCAAAACATGGCACCAGTCAATGAAATCTACAACAGTTAGTCTAGGCCACGTAGGAAGGTGTAGACTTCTTGGTTGGGATCCTCGGGACGGTAAAAACCAATGGTTGGAGACAATTGGTGACATGGCTCAAAATCGTTCTCAGTGGCGCAGATGCATCCACTCCTTGTGACTTATAATTTCCAATGGAACTATGTTGTCCTTCGTTATTACTACTCTTTTTGTCTCATATTCCTGTCTACTGTATCTATTTTGCATTTCTCCTACTTTCTTCTCTTGCTTTGTGTGCTGCATGGAGAGTGGCGACTTGAACTGCCGCACATATGTGCAAAGTTCTATGTCGAAAACAGACAGACAGATCGTATTTTTGCAAATTGGTGAAATATGCACCTTATTTATTTTTTAAATCTGCTAACATGTTATCAGACACAGTTGGGTCAATTAATTAATTGAAAATGGTGCGCATTTTATACATATATCTATGAATTTTTAATATAGCGAGCTCGTGAACTTGGTATATTCCCAACAACTGTACCCCTAAGCAGCAGTAATCCAACTCCTGTACCAACTTCAGTGCCTAAAACCAATTCAACTGTATGCCGTTTACAAATACGTTTACCATCTGGTCAACCAATTAAAGCAGAATTTGGTGCCAATGAACCACTAAGTTCAGTCACATTGTATATTAGTCAAAATTGGCCAGATTCAACAGCATGCATTGACCCAGAATCAATTCAATTGATGACAAGTTTTCCTAGACGAGATTTTACACCTGAAGATATGAATAAATCTCTTTTAGATTTAGGTAAGCGGTAAATTGTGTTACTTGATAAGTATAGAATACATGTATACTCTTGTCATGATGTCACTTACCTGCACTATTGGGATTAACTGAAGTGTTGTATATAAGTTTTACTTATACCCTTGTTCTACACATTGGTAATATTTTCATAAAAATATTGTACTACTTATTGTTTGTGAGTAGCTATACGCGATTAATCAAATTTATGTAAACGTTGTCAACACGGAATTAAGGTGCTTTTAGAGAGTCTCAGGTTTCCTAGGTGATGGTACATTTCATCTATGACTTTTCCGTGATGACTGCAGTGAAGTTGTGCTTTGTGGTTTCAATTTCTCAGTGTTGCACTTGAATTGTGGTCTGTCTCCAGTTCCTTGACCTTAAGGCCTGTTTACACTAGATAGTGATTTGAGCCAACATCTGCACCTCTTCTCGATTTCGTGTCCAGCAAGGTGCATCTCCACTTTCTTGAGATTGAGACGAAGTTTGTCCGACTTATGGTGTGTCCATTTAGTGAAACCGTTATCGCTTTGTGTATGCCCTTGTGATTGGACACGCTACCTCCAATCACCAAATCAATGAAGGCACAGAAGTCTACGAAGAATTCTCCATTCTCTTTCATTTCACAGAGAACCTGTCGACCCATGATGAATTCTCTTCCTTCTGTGTTATCTGCCCCCAATTGGGTAATCATATCGCTCATAAGGATTTTGATATCGCCATTTGGGTTGTTGTCCATTACTGTTTGCAGTCGTCTATAGAAATCTTTTTCTTCATTTGTTCTGCGTTGTTTTTAGGTGCTTAGCATTGGATGATTGTAACCCTCCTTCCTCTTGGATTGAATCTTGCTGTCATAATCCTCGAGGAGATTGGTTCCCACTGCATAAGTAAGAACTTTAGCTGTTGTTAGTGACTTCATGGTAGCCACCCCTTCAGCGTATTCGTGGCTGTCGTCTAGGTGACTGGAGTAGATTACTGTCTCTCCAGTTAAAAATTTGGAGAGTCCACTTCCATCCTATCTGTTACCACAGATTTCCGGCATTTCTACCATATTTCCCCATTTCTTTTGCAATCTGAGCAGCTTTCCCAGCTTCGAACATTGTTCGCATATTCCATGTCCCTATGTGCTAAAATCACGAATTGGTAGAGGTTAGAATTCATGCACCATTGAATCGGATCCCAGTGGCTGAATGGTATATAAACTTGCCTTATAACCTTAAGGTCATGGGTTCGAAACCCACTGGGTGCATACTAATGAAGAGTCCCGAACTAGGACGAAACGGTTGTCCATACTCCATGGTTCTCAGTGGTTCTCTAAATGATATCTATCCGTGATCTAACCTGAAACAAATCGAATCCTTACAAACGAATTCTTGAAGATGTTTACTTTTATCAAAAGAGGACACATCGGCTTCGCAGAGTATGCGTCATCCCATCTCTCCAAAAACCAGCGGGGAATAAGTTTATTTCTAATATTTTTTCTCTGCCATTGCATTTTCCTTAGCAATCGGATTGATTAGGTGGTTGGAGGCAATCGGCAGGAAGCATTGGGCTAGGTTTCGTGCTAGTTGGCCACTAATCAGCAAGGTGTATCTGCAACCTTGAGGGAACTGATGTCCCTTCTGAGATTCGAACCCACATCACCCAGTGCTGCAGTCAGAGACGTTACCACTGAGCTATTCAGGCTCGCGACTGACCTCCTGTAGGACTGTATTGGGTATTTTTGATTAACACTATTCAGGTCCACACACTAGGTCCAAGGCTTCCTGCCGATTGCCTCCAACCATCTAATACCAACAATTCACAATGCACCGTAATGGCGAGCCACCTTGCATGGTGACCACATTGCAAACATGACTGATAGAATTCAGTCTGCACCGAAGATAGGACTAGACACATTACACTAGTTACTGACTAGTGTTCAATCAAAAATTGGATTGATTTTTTGAGGTAGGGTCGGTATCCCCATCATACGCAACCTTCTATCCTTTTCTCCTAGCTCAGGACTAGCTAATGTGAACTGGTTAGCTGGGTGAGGTTTTTGTAAAACTTACAATATTGTGATACCATTTTTAAGTGTTTCATTTCTTTTTTTTTTACTTCTTGTTTCTGTTTTAGATCTATGCCCATCTTCTGTTGTAATAGTCCGACAAGGAACAAGTAGTATATGAGAAGAAGACAGCTTAGGTTTTCTTTTTTGTTTATTGGCTACTTTGCGCACACATTGTTAACATAAATAAAATACACTTTTTTTCTGTTTCTTTCTCCTGAATGCTGCATACACAGCATAATACTCATTGAATAATAAATTTAGTACAAACAAATTCAATAATTTCTGTTTGTTTGTTTGGGCTTTTCTTTTTTTGTTGTTTATTTGTTATTTTTACTTATCAAAATATTTATATTTAAACGACCACAGTGTTTGGATTTGTTTTGTTTTTTGAGAATAGATGTACTTTTATGGGTATACTATTCTATTCTGTTCTAGAATAAATTATTGGAAAATAAAATTGCCATTGCTGTTGAGTTTAAGCACAAGTTGCGCGCATTTAATCACTTAAGTTTGTCTTTTGAATTTTGAGCAAGTGTGTTATTTTGAGGCGCGCGCTTACCTTTCAAAGACTTCAATCACTATTGCTGGTTTTCAGTTAAGATTTATGTGTTCAGCACTGTGTTATATTGGATTAGTCGTTTGACTGACGGATTGAGTGAGTAGCCTCAACAGAGAACTTTGCATAGGTAGTGTGTAACAGTTCAAGTTATCACACTCCATGTAGCACACAAAGGTAGATAAAAGAGGGTGGGAGAGAGAAGGGAAGGAGATTTAAAAGGACTCTAATGAGGAGAAATACGCGGGAGAAACAAGAGTACCATGTAGTGTATTGGAGGGCGTAAACGGAGATTATGAAAAGACAGTAATGAGTGTTGCAATCTTCCCTTCTTTTAATGGAGGCGTTCGACTGGACAGCTCACATACAACTATCCACTGGGATTTAATCATTTAGGGCTTTTTAGCATTCATTGCTTTCCATCACTTGGTAATGTATTCAGTAAAGTTAGTTACTTAAATCTCAGTTACCGGGAAACAGATCTTTTATCATATGCCAGGCTATATACTGTGAGGTCTGATGATACTACCCGATTGCCCAATTTTAAGGTAGGTTGAGAGCGGGATTTGAACTCAAAACCCATTGGTTGAAAGTTGAGTCCTTAAGTCTCTGATCCATTTATTTCCGACTTGTGGGTTAGACTGTAATAGAGAGGGGGGGCACAAGAGACTTGGTAAAGGAATGTTTATTTGCAATCTGATATGCACACATATGAAGATCGCCATTTGCACAGATCTTCCATATAGTGCAACTTTTGACCTTCGTATTGTGTTTCTTTGTCTTCTTTTCGTGTCTTTCATGTTTTCCCGCAATACTGGTCCACTTCCTCCTCTTTGACATCAAAACAGAAAAGACGAGTGAACAGTGATCTAAGAATAGAACATGGGCACTGTTGTAGAGTATAATTCTATCATAGAGTAAAGTTATTTGATAAACTCTCACAGTGTTATACAGTAATATTTACTGAAGATGTTTCGAGCACAATTTATTGCTCATAATCATATCACCTTGATGATAACTTGGAATTACACGCTACCACAGTGCCCAAATTCTATTCTTATATCACTGTTCACTCGTCTTTTCTGTTTTCTATCTGCTTCCCCTGCTCGTTTTCTACTTTGTCATTTCAAAAGAGCATTTAACTTTAATAAATTAATTATGAGTCAACATTTATTGACTTTTTTAAGATGATATTTGGATCCAGTTTTATGAGAATGAGTCATCATAGAAAAGAATGTATTTTTTGAACTGTTTGTATGTTATGTTCTAGCATGGATTATTTAGAACAGTTATATTTGATGAGGTGTGATATGTTAAATGGCCTGGAAATAAACAGTATAATGCTAATTCCTTCAAAAGACTTGGTACTATGATTGGACCATTCTGTTTGGATACGCTTATTTTAATGTACTCAAATAACCTAGCAACATACAGTTTTATTTTCAACTGTTAAATGGGTCATGAAATTTAGACAACCATAGTGTGGTGGATATGCAAATGTTTAATAGGGACTGAAAGCGTCACTTTATCGAAGTCACTTCCCATAGCCTTGACAGTGTAAGATAAGTATCCCTTGGCCTTCGATTTTTTGATAGATCGAAACGAGTTAATCACTTAGATACTGATATTCAATTTGAAAACCTATTTAGTCAAACAAGGGATCTAGTTCCATCATCCACCTTGGAACTAGAACGCTTCAAATCCAGTCTAGTGGGTTGTTGTTATCAGTACAAAAACCTCAAATGCGACAGTGAATGTTTCTTGACAAAGGAGCACAGAGAAGAACTAAAGAAACTGATAAAGGATAAGAGACTGATAATCACAAAGCCTGATAAAGGATCAGGAGTAGTTCTCCTTGATAGAAGTGACTATATTAAAAAGATGAATGATATATTGAAGGACACATAGAAGTTTCAAGAACTTAAGGAGAAGAAAGATCTCAATAACAAAATAGAGAATGAATTAACCAGACGTTTGAAGAAACTAAGGGAGGAGCAGATATTTTCTGAAAGTTTATATGAAGAAATCAGACCAACGGGAACGTATACGCCAACATTGTATGGCCTACCTAAAGTGCATAAACCGGGGGTACCGTTAAGACCAATACTTGATATGCAAATTCGCCACCATGCTGTAACCAGATGGTTAGTAAATATTCTCAAACCTTTGCATGAGAAGATAGTGAAATATAGCGTCAAAGATGTATTTGAATTCGTAGACAAAATCAAAGATATTAATATCAAGGACAAAACCATGATATCTCTGGACATAACATCTTTATTCACAAATGTACCTCTAGTAGAAACAGTTAACTACATATGTGAACAAGTGGATAACCAGTCGATAAACATTGGCATCCGTACTGAAATCCTAAAAGAATTGTTATTAAGGTGTACCATGAATGTAAACTTCAAATTTGATGACACGCTTTACAGGCAAGTGGACTGGGTCCCATTTTGGCTGATTTCTTCCTAAGTAAGCTAGAAAATGGACCTTTGAACAACCTTATCAGAAAGTTCTCATTTTACTGCCGGTATATGGATGACACCTTCATTCTTTGTGATAATGATTCGGATAGGAGTACAATAATTACTGAATTCAATGAAGTACATTCTGCTATGAAATTCACGTGCGAAGAGGAATCCCAAAACAGAATTGCCTTCCTGGATGTCCTCCTTACAAGAAAACCAGATGGTAGCATAAAAAGAAATTTGCTTAGAAAAAGTACATGGACAGGACAATATACACATTTTCACAGCTTCGTTCCTCTCAAGTACAAAAGAAATTTAGTAAAGACCCTCAGCCACAGAGTTAGAGCTATATGCTCAGAAGAAGTAATTGAAGATGAATTAAGCATTGTATATGATACTTTGATTGAAAATAGCTATCCCGACAAATTTATCAAGAAACACATGACAAAGAAAGCGGAAAAGGACTACTCACTATCCGTAAACAAGAAGCCTCTTTATATACGACTGCAATTCAAGGGCGATATACCAAGTGAAATAATTACGAGAAATTAAGAAAATCAGTTCAAAGAACTTTTAATGCTGGCGAACTACACGTCTTATTCTCTACACGACCGATGGTGATTCCTCGACTGAAAGATGAAGTACCTAGACTAGCCACTTCAAATTGTATCTACCAATTCAACTGCGCTTGTGGAGCGAATTATATTGGCCGTTGCTCTAGGAACTTGATTTTTCGTGCTCACTCGAGAACATCTCCCAGTATGGCTAAGTAAAGGTGTAGTTAAAACCATCAACAGTTCGATATTAGACCATCTGGTGCAAACCGGCCACAAAGCCAGCGTTGAAGAATCCTTCTCTATCATCTACCGGGTGCCTAATAAATTGCCAAAAACATCGAAGCACCGCATGCTTCAAACAGCAGAGGCTATTGCAATTCGCGTGAAACAACCAGTGCTCTGTGTGCAAAAGAAGCAAGTCCAGCCACTACTACTGCCCTGGCTGGCCTTCAGTAGAGACTATAAATTCATGAATTTGTAATATTATCTTTCCTAATTTTTCTGATATTCAGCTTATTTTATGTTGATGCTATTGAACTGTAATCTATCAATATTATTGATTCGATGTTATTTAAACAACATTAATGTTGTTCATAACACTAATTCATTCATTCACTATAATGTATATATAACTGTAGAGCCTGATGAAGGAAGTTATCGAAAAGAGTATTCTTTGTTCAGTATCCATTCTTTTGAAAATCAGAATCTGTCAAAATAACCAACTCACTCATAAACCCTCCTTTTGAATGATTTAAAAACATATATATTTCAGAAGTTATCATACTGCTGTTGAAATTAGTAAGGAAAACTGTGCTTTCTTAACAGTGAAGTACAATAACGCTCTTTTCTAATCCTGTTTTTTTGAATGTCTTAACAACACTTCTTATACCGCAGGCTATTTGTGGCTTGTTAGCTGAAATTACTTGATTCTCTATAGTGGGCTGACAGTATGCGACATATTGTTATTGTCTGAAATTACTAGGCTATACATCGGAATAAATATATGCAAATACTAATCCCATTGATAATCCTGTCCTTTGAATGACTTAGCAACTTATCTTATATCACCAGCTTAGCATAGAAATGAGATACTTCATACTAGTGTTGAAATTAGTGGGGAAAAGTATGCTACTTTATATAATGAGGTGTATAACTCTCTTTTCTAATTATGTGACTCTATGATTGATAGGTAGATAGTGTGGTTCCTACAATGTCTGCTTCATTCATAATGTAGTGTGTATTTAAATGTCCTAGTCACACGTCGGATGATGTTAGATTACAATAGTATCCAGTTAAAATTTGGTGATTTCTATATTCTCTCAATTAGTTTAGAATTTATAGGTGATGGTATAAGAAGCATGTTGTTTAAGCCATTGAAATAGATCGGACTGAGTGAATTAGAAGCTTGATTGCATTTATCTGCTTCCTGGAGATAGACATTTCGACCTCGAGTATGCAGACAATGTCGTCTTACTGTGCGATAGCATGCAGGCTGCCCAAATCGCACTTAATCAGTCGGCGATCAGTGTCTGTAAGTATGGTATGTGTTTCGCACCGTCTAAGTGCGAAGTACTGTTACAAGATAGGCAGGAGCCTGTACCTGCACTCACTCTTGCAGGTTAACCACTTGAAGTTGTTGATAAGTTTGTGTATCTGGGTAGTTGTGTGAGTGCTGGCGGAGGGGTGATGGATGAGATTTCCAACCGCATAATGAAGGCTAGGGTGGCATACACTAACTTGAGCCACCTCTGGCGCCGTCGCCACGTTAGGCTGGCTGTCAAAGGTTGGGTGTACAATGCTTCGGTGTAGGCTGTCTTGCTCTACGCCTGTGAAACCTGGCCTCTCCGAGCTGAGGATGTGCGTATTTGATCA